AGCAAGCAAAAGCAGCCATTCTATTGGCAGCTGAGCGCATGAAGTGGTACTACGATCAATCCGTACGACCCGCACCTTTCAAAGTTGGAGATCAAGTATTACTCTCCACTAAAGACTGGCAGACATCGGGAGCCAAATTGGCACAACGGAGAGATGGACCCTTCGAAATCGTAGAAAAACTAGGACCAGTCACATATAGACTCAAAATGCCACGACAATACGGCGTTCATCCAGTTTTTCATGCGTCCAAGCTCACGCTCTACCACAAAGATGAAATACCAGATCGCACTCTCAGACCCCGTCCACCTATCAAGAAGAAGACTGGCGAAGAATGGGAAGTCGAATACATAGTCGACTCTCGCGTCATTCATGGCAAACTTCAATATTTGGTGCATTGGAAGGGTTATTCCAAAGCTGAAGAAACTTGGGAACCCGCAGCAAATTTGAAGAAATCTCCGCGTCTCATCAAGGAATTTCACAGAAAATATCCTGACGCACCCCAACCAATATCTCTCATTGATACAACTCCGGTCGATGGCGTTTTTCCACCCAGGAGAACAGGTCAAGTCTACGACCCCGCCACTGATACCATTCAGATATACGATCAGGATAGAGATGATTGGGATCATTCTAGAGATCTTCAAATTACATTAGACAATCCAAATGCACACGCACCAAAATATGCCCATGAAGACGATGCTGGAATGAATTTAGCCGCATCAGAACCAACAACCATCCGAGCACACTCAAGAGGATTGGTATCCACAGGACTTCATTTTACAACACCTCGAGGGACCTATGGTCGAATTGCACCACGAAGTGGGTTAGCTGTCAAAGGCATCGACGTAGGTGCTGGTGTTATCGACAGAGGATACACAGGCGAAATCAAGATTTTGCTAATCAATAATACAAATGATGACTTCACAGTCAATTTGGGCGATCGAGTCGCTCAACTTATCATTGAACGTATTATTACCCCTGTCGTTTCACTGGTTGATTACCTCAAACCCTCAGCCCGAGGTCACCGTGGATTTGGTTCAACAGGCGATAATTACTTCCAGAAACCACGCAAAAAGCCAGATTCGGGACGAACCGTCTAGAAGGGGGGGTACTGTCACAGATTTTCACGTTTTCACCTCTGCACGTGACCAAGACATCACTTGACATCAGCGCTAGGCTGTTCAGAAAGGAACGAACTGGTACGCGAAGTACTAACAGTCCTAGGCGCCCCGAAGGTCCAGGTCTAGTCACGTGACATATCACGTGATATCCACACATGTGACAAGTAGCGCTGGTATTAGGTAAGCCTAACTTATACAGTAATATCATCCCACCTAGAAGCAACGGTCGGACTCCGGAAGAATCCAACGAAGGGAATACACGACACCGGAGATAGGTCCTTAAGGGGATATTAGTTCACATGCACGAGGTAGATAGATACCACGCCACCGGAGATGTAGCCATTACAGGCAATACCATTCCCATGGTCTTACTAAGTAGTTCGGAGATTCGGCATACATGACACATGTAGTCTGACAGGTAGTGGTAACCAATCAGACAATGTCCATTAGCTAGCGGTTCTGAGATATCAGGGAACCAAGGGTCCCTCCACTCATGTATATAAGCCAGAGCTCTGAGACGCATAAGTCCCCCAGACTTATTCTCATCTCTGCTACGCCTATCCATATAGTGTCACCAGCGACCACTTGCAAGTCGCTGCTTTACTTTGATCATCTTTGTGTCCATCCTTACGTCGACAACAGTCAGTAAGTGTTTGATCATAAGGTCATAGGCTTAGTCGGCGCTCTGCGTCCTAAGTTTGTGATAGCAAGATCGCGCGGGTAAGCGTTTGGCCATCGCATTCTGCAATACCGTTCCCCTGAGGATGATACGGTGAGCTCATAACGACCGCGACACCATGCTTCTCGAGTAGGAGATGAGCGGCGCCTTTGAATTCCGGACCACCGTCGCAAACGCAAACCGGAATGCACCCGAAACGACATAATACATCCTCCCACAGAAACTTGGCCCAGTTCTGCGCCATGTTCTTAGCAACGGCGCGTGCTTCTGGCCAGCAGGAGACATCATCCGAAGCATGAAGAAGATACCGCTGTCCTTCATAGCCCTTCGGCATGTGGACAGTGTCCAGCACGAATCGTCGAAGGATGCTGGGCGATATAGTAAGCGTTAGCGGCATCTTGTTTCGTGTGCGCGCGCGATATTGGCAGCCATTGCAAGAGCGAACGAAATACGCGATCTGCAGGTACATGTTCGGCCAGTAATATCGGTCCGCGAGTTTTCGATAGGTTGGATCGCGTCCACGATGGCCGCAATCGTCATGTGCTTGCTTGAGAAGATCTAAGCGTCGAGAATTGTCAGCAATCACAAGACGAGGAAGAGCTTTGCGGTGGATTTTCCACAACCGCCCATCATGTATAACGAAGCCCGCTGCCCGACGAATGAACGTTCTCGAGGCGCTAGGGTCATCGTGCACTCGTGGCGGCATCTCGCCGAATTCGAGATACTGTTGGATCTCGCGGAAATATACCTCACCATCGTCATCATAGACACGATGTTGATGGGGAAGATTCTGCACGTCCACAATAGAGGACTGACAGTAATAAAAATATCTGGAGTCTTGCATTCGCGCGACAACATGGGAGGTCCTCGAGGCACTGTAAGCCTTCGGGACAGCTGTGACGGCATAGTGGATCGCATCCTGTTGCTCCGCAGGTTCCATGAGATCATTTGTGATGAACGCGGCGCGATAGTGGGTGATGGGCAGAGGCGAAGATACTCCTTCAAGAGAAAAGATGTTAGTAGTCGTTTGCGCGCGTTTTCGCACCATGAACTCATTCCCAATATACGAGATATCATCCATGTTCTGCAGGAACGAGGCATGGAATGGCGACGGAATAGTTCCGGGTGATGCGCCCGCCTCGATATGTGCTTCATGCACCGACCACCAGCGTGGTCGAGATCCGAACAGGTTTGCATCAATCCCGTGATACCCAGGACCAGCAGCTGCATGCAGGAGTTCGCCCTTCGCTGATGGGAAGTCTCCAAAGCTAGTAGGTGCGTCTGCCCATTGAATGGAATGTGGGTGCACTGTGTGGTCACCTCACGCACTGCCGATGATCCTATCAAGCTGCTCCTCGCCGTCCGATTCTTCGGAGTCATCTGATGATGGTCTTCGACGAGACAGCCCGTCCGCAGCGATATGCTTGCCCGCAGGTACGTGTTCGAGTTCGAAGCTGAAGAGCTTGAGATAGGCAACCCAACGCGTCATCGGCGCATTCGGTAAGTCCGGGTCGCTAATCATTTGACGCAAGTACTTCGCGTCGACCTCGAGACGGAAGAATATTCCCCAGATGCGGTGACGCAACTCCTTCATCGCCCGGAATACACCATAGAGTTCGACCTTCGGCTGCGAATAGCGTGATTCGGTCGCGTTGAACGTACAGAAACCGAATAGCACCGGACGTTTCACGGTCCCTTCGTATTGGAAGAGTACCCAGCCAGCGCCATGGATAGAGGAATCGACCGCCAAGACGACCAGTCCATCGGTAGACTCGCGAGTTCCGGGTTGTATGAGCATGGCCAGCTGATAGTCGAGTTTCTTGAGCACAGGTGCGTCCGAGATAAGCCGCTTCAACTCGTCCATGGATGCCTTCTGGTCCTCTCCGAAGATGAAATCTTCACCTGTATCTCGTAGTAAAATAGTTAGCAGCTTCGCAATGAGAGAGAAACCTTTAATCCATCGTCTTGCAACCCCCGCGGTCCCAAGGAATCCGCGAACCTCCGAGACGTTCTCGCATTCTGGCCACTTGCGGACCTTACTCGCGAGTCCATGATCGACCTCCCATCCTCTGAGTGACACCACTGTGCCCACCACTTTGAGCTTCGGCGTAGCCAATACTAACTTGCTTCCTGACGCTGTGATTCCAGCCTCGATGAAACGCTTCAGAAGTAGGTCGACCGTAGTAGCGAACTCGTAGACGAATCGACGAATGTTGGGGTTTGAAGGAATGGGTTCATCATCATATCGGGAGCGTGGACCAAGTGCACAAGCGTCATCAACGAATACTCCTGCGAGCTCAGGACTCATGGGTCCCAAAACGTGAGACGTCGCTCGCTGGAATTCTTGCATAGCGTTTGTATATCCTTGAGGTAGGCAAGTGACGCGCATTGGTCCGAGAAGCGAGTGGAAAGTTGTTAGGTCACAAGACCCTGCTGCCAGAATGCGCGCATCGTAGCCAAATAGCAAGTCGCAAAGCATGTAGATAGCCCGGCCAACGCAGTGTTCTGCAAATTCATCAGCGCGCGGAGGGAGCGCCGAATCGCGAATAGTGACCGCGTTTAATGATTCGAGGTTGATGACCATGCGTATGTCGCCGCTCTTTTTCATGACAGCGAATGTATTCGCGCGGTATGATGCCGAGGAATATTCGTACTTCCCCGCCGCTTCCTGTGAGCGAAGTACAGTTCTTACCTTATCCTCAAGAGCCTTCGGAACAGGCACCGGACGATTTACCCAGGGAACATGTTCCACAGTGGGAATCTCGTAGTCTGGAAAGTATCTGCGAGAGAACGTGCCTCGCTCCAAGTCCGTCCAGGCGATTGCCTGCTGATTGATATCGATGATGTGCACCAATAGAGTCACTTCTTCCGAAGATAGAAACCCGTCAGGTACTGTAGAGAGAATTGCGTCAAGACGGTCTTGAGTGAGACGCGCGGTAGGAATGAAGTCCGAAAGAGGTGGAGGATGCGTGGGAAGAGACAGAACGTCCGAGATTTCAATGGGTATAAATGCCTGGGCCTGCGGGTTTGGCATATAAGTCGGTACAGGCCGAACCTTGCAATGTACAGGTTTGTACCGCTTTCCCGCATGAGTCGAGTATGATGTGAACGAGAAAGCTCTATGCGTCCATCGAGACTGGAGTGGAGTGACTGACGCTGGTAAGGAGTATGAAAGTGTGCGGAGCAAGGCGTCAAATGACTCCGGAGGATGCAGCTGTGAAAGAAAGATGGTATCGTTGTCTGACGTAACTGGAAGTAGCCCTAGAAGCGAATAGAGAGTCCGGCCGACTAATGGTATGTCATCGCCCCGATTTATAGCCGGAGGGGTCGACTTAGAATGATTGTTAGGGAGGTCAGAAACCAGCTCCCTCGCCAACGCCCAAGGTAGACGCCATGACGAGCCGGTCTGTATTGCGCTGGTGTGAGATTCCGACGACCTGAGCTTTGACTGGTTTTCGAGTGGAATCGCCAAAGGGGTATGCGACGAGTTTGACAGATCCGCCGCGTTGATACTCAATGTGCGCCGAGAACCATTGGAGCCAGGGCTGCCCCAGTATGCCATCATGGCTGCCATACTCCTGTAGCCCGACAAAGAAGTGATGGTTGAAGCGCTCTCCCCCGATCTCGACAGACACATCTCTGCAGCATCCAAGAAGACGGACTGGTTCTCCACTGATCCCTTTGAGTGACCAGCGAGAGCCATCGGAATCAAGCTCGACTCCCGCTCGGTCATATACCCGTTGGGTGATCAAATTCAGTTCGGATCCCGAGTCGACCAAGAACGTACAGTCTTCTGTCCCGAACTTCCCCTGGACCGTTCCACAAGCCATCGCGAAGTAACGCTTGGGTTCCACCACGATCGCGCTCGCATATCGGTCAAGAATATGCATTGCTTCCTCCGTGGTTGCGCACGTTAGGTATGCCGCCCCCGATGGGTAGCCTCCCTCGTTTTCAGCTTCCGCTCGATCTTGTTCCTCCAGCTCGTCTTCTAGTTTGACCTTGGATGTCCGAGTCCCTGGTGTCATGATCTCTTCCAGAACCTCGCCTTCCGCTGCACGGATAGATGCTTCCCGACGCAGACGCGTGAGCCCTGTCATACGCTTCTGTAACTCCGGGGATACTCCTAATAGAGCTCGTAGAGGTAGTGACACCTCTGTATCCAACAAACGCATCTGGACCTCCTCCATAGACACGCTATCCTGGATCTGCGAGGTGAAACGATGCCCAGACCCTTTAGGTCCGTACCGCTCATTTATCTCGCCCAACTTCTTCTCGTCAGTTCTAGCCTTCTCCGCTTGTCTCCACCCTGCTTCCGTATTGCTGGGGTGAGGCACGAATGATACCCGCTTTTTCCCCGAGTCAGATCCATTCCGCATCCTGGTGAACCTTGTAGGGTCTGCAGGCTGCTGAACTTTAATAGATTCTGGATGACCGTCCTTGTGCGTCGTATCATCCGCACCCTCGTGCTCAAATTCAAAACGGACGGATCTCTGAATCTCGTCCTCCTGATCAGATTCGACCGTGGCTTTCGCCTTGGATCGAGTCGTGACCGGGAAGGCATACACGTCCTCTGCCGCGACTGCAAACACACTGCCCTGGATCACATTCCGACCCTCTTGCATCAACCCAACCACCTGACAAACACCAGACTGATGCGGCGGCAGATCACGCTCACGATCCTTTCCACGCGAACGCATTTCAAGCTGAATGAGAGACGCAATTCCCCCTTTGCCAGGGAATCGAGGAAGACCAGTACCATCACAGCGGATGATTCTTCCTTCTGCAGAATATTTGAGAAGCCCTTCGAGAATCAATGCCACCGTCTCCGGGCATTTCCGCATGGATAACGGATGATCCAAATCGACCCCTTCAACCTTTCTGCACATATAGCAAGCTTTCGCTTGTCCATATTCATACTGATCACGTAACTGTCCTCGCTCTGAAGCTGAGGCTTGCCCAACAGGAGCTGTCCCCATAGAAGCGGACTGTGCGACAGCTATTCTAAGCTGTCGCATTTGCTCCTTTAGCTCGGCGACAGAGGATTTCTCTGCCTCGGCATCGGAACTCTGCCTCGCCTTCCTTTTGCTCTTCTCGCCCTTTTTACCCTTCCTCTTCTCATGGCGTTTCTGCCAGCCATCGTCATCTGAGCTCTCAGACCCCGAATCTGAAGATGAAGAACTCCATCGCTTTCGACGAGATCTCCTCTTCTTGCACTCTCCATCCCCAGAACTGTCCGAATCCGAACTCGATGACGATGTCTGCGCTGCGTTCTTCCTCTTAGAACGCTTCTTTTTCTTTTTGCCTCGCTCTGACTCTGAATCATCTGATTCATAGTCTATGTCATGGACATTGTACCGCTTCCTCGCCTCGTCGACCACATTGTCAATCGGCGGAGGCGCGGATAGGGTCAACTGACGTCCCAAGTCTTTCTCTAGGTTGCCTTTGATCTGCTCTCGCAACGTCTCCGGCAGACCCTTGTAAAACAAAGCGTCACGCTCCTCCTCTGTGATAAGCTTCTTATCTACTAGGTCACCCGCTTTACGGTTGAACCCGCAGATATACTTGTCAAGAGTCCGCCGAGACCTGACCATCTCTTCGGCACTGGCCCGCTTTGAGAAGCGTCTAAGCCCATCTGCCGATCTCCGCTGCCTTCCATCCGAAGATGAATAAAAATACCCAAGGCGCTCTTTCGCCTTGTCCCAATCCCTAGCCGTGGAGCTGAACGCCGTCTCATGCTTCAGCGTTCTGCGAACCTCGCTTGAACAGTAGCGCATAACATGATTGGGAAGGTCTGCCTTATCAACCCCAGCAGCCTTCGCCATCGCTTCCAGTGTATCAATGAACTCAGATAAACGTTTGCCCTTGAACTCAGGGGCCTCGCGCGCTCCCGGCAAGGGCATTGGGACTTGCACAAATGACGAAGCCATCATTACCGAAACAGTTGGATTACTTACCGATGCCTGTGCAACAACTCCTGATGTTCCGGGTACAGATGGTGCTCCAGAAGGGATGCTAGACAGACTAGAGGTGGAGGCCCTCCCGTGTAGACTCTTCTTCTTCACAAGCTCTCCACGGGTCATAGACCTCAAGACTCGAGTGGATGCAACAACAGAGATCCGGCTTCATGGTCGTCTGTCTATAGCCGTGATCACAAAGACTAACTGATGCCTAGAGAGACGAAGAAGCTAGAGATACTAGAGGAGAAGTGAGCGACCAGTATACAGGTTGTCGAGCGGAATACCCGAAGAAACCCCCTGCGTCGGTCACCACTTGAAGAGGGGATTGTTGCCTAGATACGCGGCAGCGTTCGGTGGGTCGTCGACGTAGAAACCGTGCTGGTCGAGTAGAGTACAGAGTAGTACGTCGCCTAGAGATACGATGCGAGAATACGATAAGGACGTTCGATGAGAGAGCTAATTCGCGTGGCTTATCCGAAGACGTAGCGCGTGACCAGCCGAAATACTGATCCGAGTGCGCAAGTCTTGGTTCAAGGGGGATAAACTGCTCCATTCGTGGGCGGGAGAGCGCCCTAATATACATGTACATGACAGCGGATCGCGTAGCAAAGAAGATGTGGGGTTTTCTGGTTATGGGGATGCAATCGCGTGAGACATTACTATCTATGGTAACTGTCCAGACATAAAAGGAAACTTTGAAATACCGAATCATTGGGGCCTTGTCCTCGGCGACAGACTTCGTTCGCGGTACGTCCAGACGGTTGGCACTGGGGAGCGCTGTCTCGGCGAGTTCGGACCCCGCGGGAGATCGAATTTACGAGTCGCAGCCCGCCGCCCTCGGACGTGCGATCGTCACCGCGGGCCTCTCCTCGCCTACGTCTCCCTGACCTCTCGTCCATTCGCCCACGTCGGAAGCTGGTAGAGTCGATGGATACACAAATCATATGCATGCACTAGAAGAATCGTCTCAAATGAAAGAAAAGGATGAATTACGGTACCGGCGCCTGTCTCCTCCACAATGAGACCTACATCTCGAAATCGCAAGGCCGCATGAGCAGGAACTACTGTCCTCTGTCTGCAGATAAGGCGACTGGTGTACCTCGTCTTGTGGCTTGTGAGTGCTCAACGTGAAAGTGACATCCGGCATGCTTCTCATGATCAGCGAGCGGACAGTTGAGCGACGTATCCACTTGATGTTGCGATTCATGCAGCGGCATAAATGCAGTTGCGGGGATGTGCAAGAACCTATCAGCATACACAGGCGATGCACGTACAACAGCATTTCATGGTGCACTTTGGGTCGCTTGGCATTTTTGTCATTGGATTCGATAGCTCAGGCGTTTCTACGGTCTGTGATCGTCAGAATAATTCATCACATCCATCAGGTTTAAGTGAACTCATAAAACCCGCCTCGCCCTTAGCGCCGCGCATGACCACATCTGAAGATAGCCTTGTCAGATCCCCGCCGCAATAAGTCACTATTGGCAAGCTGTAGCCCAAACGTTCGCTTTGTGACTAGTAGTTTCCCTGGGCGCGGAATGCTGCTCCGCCCTACTTCATTCATTTGTTTTGCAGCAACAAACGCGTTATAATCTTTGTAGAGGTACTAACCAGATTTATATCTCACTCACGTAAAAAGCGTCGAGGGTCGAAATGTTGACATGGCATAATTCGAGTGGCCATGGCCATGGACCTCACAGACGCGGTCACGTGCACTCGACAGGAGCGCGACGCGCCGCGACGCCATTGAACATGATCTCCGCCCACCATCACTGCCGCTAACTCGACTTCGGAGGAAAATGTTTTTGGTCGATAATGCAAGGTCAGTATTATCAAATGATGAGCGCAGATAACTGACCGTGGTGAGGGAATCGCTAGGGTTTATTCTGCGCATTGTCGGATATCACCGTAGGCCGCCCCACAATGTAACGTTTGGTGATCATACTGCAGCCTGCAAGCTGTGAAGAACACTCGCAACACAAGCATATTATGAGTGGAGCGTATTAACAATGATGCATTTTGCGCGTCCTGCAGGCAGCGGCTCCTCTCTTCGAACCTTCTTAGTGCGCAAATGCGTGCAATCGTGCTTTCAAATACTAAAACCGCAGCGCAGACTCCATCTCATTCAAGTGAAATGGATGTGATTGCTTTACATCATTGTGTATCCACCACTTACTGTCGTCTTCTTCACGAAGCGTAATGGCATGCGTCGATGAAGAGGGCACAGTGCGCAAGGGTGAACGCGCCACGCCTTTCCTGGCAAGGCGACCGACTGCCTAGGTGGTCGATAATCTCTGTAGGCGGCATTGGTAAGGTAGGCGAGGTTTATCTAGGTAGGCCTGTAGAGATCATCTTTTCGGGTTTTTGTTGATGATTCATGAATCCCCCACTCTCTTCGCTTCTTCTTAGTCCGCAAGTGCATACAATCATGCTCAAACTCTAAAAACCCGATTTTCATCTCATTCAAATGTTAATACATATAAAGTGGGTGTCGTTGCTTTACATCATTTGGTAGTCGCCGATGCTGTCATCTCACCGAAAGAGCACAGTTGGTCTGCGTAGATGAAACAGGCGCAGTGCGCATGGGTGACGAGGGTCAATTACGCTTTCCTTTCTCCCCATGAAATCACAACAGCCCCCAAATGCTCCTGACGTTGCTATACGTGTCTGGAGCTATTTCGGACACAGTCGCATGCATTCATCGCGCTGCTCCACGTCACCTAATGTGATCAAAGGAGAAGCACTATGTGGGGCCCGTACTGTCGCTGTGCTGTCATCCTGCATTCAGGGGAGCCTTCGCTCCTATCATCTCCACCACATTTCTACTTCCGTGTACAAAAAAAAGATGTGTGTGGCCTTCCGGCACGGACGCTCCGAGCGACCGCATGCTCTGCTCGCGGATTGACCATCATCTGCCCTAATGCATCTCTATGCTGACATGGATACAGTCATCTTCCCCACCCCTCGTTAATTCCATCAATCGGACGTCGTCCCTACGCTTCTGGAGATTCGCAGCAAACGTCCCTGCCTGCCGCGGATGTCCAAGCACAATTTCAACACTCCTCCCCCTCCCACAGCCGCTCTCCGTCACCTATCGCGGCACGATCACCTCCACCAGCGCGCGCCTCCCTTATCTGATTCCCTGATCCAAAATCGCCATTGGATCCATCACGCAGGATGTCTGCGGCCCCGAACTGTCAATCGGTCGACCCCCGGGAGCAAGCATCGGTTCTCTCAGGGCAATACACTTACACTGGACGTCGTGAGCCCGTCTTCGCCTCGTCGACGCGTTTGCTATGCATCACACCTTGGCGCCATCTGCGTGAGACGTTCCAGTTACTCGTACCACCGTCATACGATATACACACGCCTATGGTTGCCGGGATCTCACAAAGCACGCACGACGATCCGGCCTCATGTCCTTCCATCTTCCACCTTCCTCAAGTCCCCAAGTCCGCAGACCCGTAAAGCTATCCCACATCTCGCACGCCGATTAGCTGCCGTACCCCACGCTCGACGACGCAAAGCGCCCTACCCCACACTTCTAGCCGAGCCACGCTGGCCCAGCTCGCCTTCCTAACGTCTTCTCCCGCGTACGCCAGCGAGGCTGTGCCGAGCATCCTTCCCCGCAGGCACGCATGCGCACGCCGCCCGTCGGCTTACGTCCCAAGATGCACGCCACACGCCAGAAGGCCGCCAGTGCGCCACGAACAACAGTGCACGCCCCGTCGTGCAGCAGCCCTGAGTGCAGAGAGCTTATCTAATCGCCGCCGAGGTATTCCCGCGCGTGGGCGCCTGCAGCTCCACCTGCACCTTCCTCCCACACTGTCGTTGGCGTCCTTTACGACGCGCTTCGTCGCCTCCCTTGGCTTTGCTCGTCCTTCGCGGGGGCTTTAGGGCAGGACCCCCGAAAATCCCTATGGGAGGCCGGTCCAAAAATCAGTGATTTTTGGACTTCCTGTCCGGACAGCTTTTCCGGAGTTTGTGTCCGGATAGCTGTCCAGCCTCCGGGACCCTTGAGTTTCTGTCTGGACTTTTGACCGGCCTTTCGGCGGCCCACCTCCTTGGTTCTGTTTGTATGTATTTGTTCTGTGGCTTGAAGATGATTACTGCTTTTGTCCTCGACCTTCCCCTTGCTCCATGTCCGGATGCCGGACTGGCCTATCAATACATACGGAGAAAATGTCTGGACATTTTGACAGGCATTTTGGACATTGGGGGGTCATTTGTCTGGATTTCGGACTGGCCTAAGGCCTCAAAAGTGTCCATTTGTGTCCGGACGGCCGACCGGCCTCATATAGGGATTTTCGGGGGTCCTTTTAGGGCTCGCATACGCTTTAGGACTGGGACGAGATCTACCGCGCGTCAACGTTCAACCTTGGCCGCACCAGATGTTCCATCACTAGGCACTGGCTGGTGGTGGTGGCGCTAGTGTACGGATGTCGATGAGGGTTCAAACGTTCAGAATCGCCGCACGGACGCGCGGGCAAAACAATAGCCCAGGGATATTATGTACAACGAACGATGCACTCCGACTGACGGCATCGACCCCTTCTCGCGCGCCTCCAAAAGACGGGGACTCAAGCTCGACGCCGGACGGGTTCGCGGCCCTGCCCTGTCCTGCCCTGCCAGGAAGGCCCTTTCGCCCCTTCTTCCCCCTTCCAAACCGTCATCATCTCATCATGCATCATCCACGGCTCGACGCCTCAATTTCCCCAGCTGAGTCATCTCGCGCCCGCAGCTCGGGCAGAAGCCCATCCTGAGCCCTCTCGCGCTCGACCCCAGACTTAGACTCGAATCAATCAAGAGGCGCGCGGACGCTCAGGGGCTCCCCAGGTTTCCGAGATGAAACGCTGCGCTGCGCAGTCTGCGCTACGCCGCGTGCGCGTGCGCTAATCGCCGACGAAACACTGTTCGGCACGGATGCGAGGTGGTGTGTGCGTGTGCGTCTTCGTGGTGTGCCCAGACCCCGCCTATTACCCCGCATCGCAGTGCATCCTGCACCCCGCAACCCCGCAACCCCGATCCAGATCGCGGGGTCGCACACGCCTCGCCAATCACCAATCACCACACTTTGATCGCGTCGCGTCCGTCCCTCGCACTAACGTGCGAACTCCGCGTTAGCCCTGATACCCTCGCGGGGTAAATTCTTTTCGAGCCCTCGGCTGCAGTTCGATAGATAGCTCCCTACATATGAATAGCAGGGAAAAAAGAGCATCCTATTCTAACACCGCGATTAGCACGATACTAATTAATACACATCGTACGCGTAACTGCCAAGACCAAGACCAAAACCAATCAAAAACGAACACAACACAAACACGTACACGTACACGAACAACGGACAGATGGATGGATGGTACTGTACAAATGACACGTACGTAGCAAGCCCCAAGTTCAGCATCAAACCACGAGCACGATATCCCAAGGATGAGGGGCGCAAGACGAAACCACTACTGTACATTCTCGTTCTGCCGCTGCGTATGTGTATGCGTACGGGAGGGGAGACATTTTTTGGCGCCTTGCTATGTATGAAATACAACCGAGATACGACGGTGAGAAAATTGGGAATGGAATGAAGATGACACGATAGGATACGCTAGAGGAGAAGCACGCGATATGAAAGGTACAGTGAATGATACGTCATCAGAGGGGAAGATACGACAAAAGCAGGAACGGAAAGAGGTGGGAGGGGATGTGAGTGCGCCTGAGACCCGAGTGACGTCGAGAGGGATAGACCGAGAATGAGAAGGAAGGCGTCGAATGTGGCCGTCGGGTGGGTGCGGATGAGGCAGACCAGAAGGCGTTAGGCGTGCAGACAGAACCAACGGAGCATACGAGGCGGCATGGCGAGTCATCGTAGAGCATAAGGACGATCTTGAGCATACATAGGTGCGCGGACGGGCGGGCGGGCCAGCGTTTGGCGTCAGTGGGGGGTGGGTGGGTGCGGTGAGCGAGCTCGTGGCATTAACCTCGACCTCTTTTTGCGCCACCCGGCCTCGCGCGCATTTTCTCCTTCCTCCGTCTTCCAGACCAGACCAGCAGATCGCCCAAGGCATCACGACGTCTCCATCTTCGCATCCGCCTCCTCCTTCACGCTAACCTCCTTCTTCATCGACACAGCACCGACGCCGACACCCACAGGCCTCCCATCCCTCCCCTTCCGCCCCCTCTCCTCCTCCTCCCCCTCCTCCCCATCCTCACTAACACTCGGGCTCTTCTCCCCATCCCCATCCATATCCCCATCCTCCATCATCTCCGTATCCATATCCTCCTCCACGCTCTCCAACTCCGTAAAGCTCTTCTTCCTTCTCCCATTCTGCAGCATCGACACCTGCGCCTGCGCCGCAGACGCGAACCCAAGAAAGTCCCCGACCTCCTCGTGCAGCACCAGCCTCCCCTCCTCGTCGCACTCCCCCGCGCCCACGCCGTCCTTCCCGCGGAACACCTGCAGCTGCTGCTCGAGATCGCGGTTCCGCGACGCCTGCGCCGACACGAGCTGCTGGAGGTACCTACACGCACACCATCAACATCCGCACCCACACCACGGGTCCCAACAACGCTCACCGAATGTACTCCACGCTCTTCCGCAGGATCATCCCCTTGTTCGCCTTGACGACGCCCCCCTGCTCGCCCGCATTCGCACCACCATCCTTATCCTTCTCCTCCGGCTCCGCGCTCTCATCCTCCTCCTTCTTCTCCTTCTCGTCCTTCTTCTCCTTCTTCTCCTTGTCCACGCCCGCAGTCCCGAACAGCAGGTCCTCGCCCGTCGCAGACGCGAGCGACGTCGGCATCGTCAGCGTGGCTGCCAGTCATGGAGATCAGCACACAAGGATGGAGCAGGATGAAAAGCGAGCACTGACCACTCGGATCGAGCAAACACTCGGGTATGAGCGTCGCGAGCTCGCTGATCTTCTCGTTGATGTTATCCCGCCGCCGTCTCTCGACCGCATTATGCGACTCGCGCCGACGGCGCCGCTTCTCATTCGCAATTATCGCCCTGCGCGCATCACATCCACGTTCACGAGGTCGGCGAACGATGATGCCGGTCCGGATCAATCGCACCGATCGACCACAATCACGGCGACCGCCAAGCCACGAGCACAAATAAAACGGACCACACGTCAGCTGAAACTCTACACGACAAAAGGAAGGCTACGCACTGCTTGGTAGCCATATCGCCCGGCGGGCTCTCCCCGCCCTTTGCGCCGCCCATCATCGCGCCCATACCCATATCCTTCGGGCTCACGCCCAATCCCACACTGCCCATGCTGCCGCCTCCAAACGCGCTGAAGCCGCCTGCAGTCCCATCAGCTCTCGTTCACATCAGTAAGACAGGTACGCACCATGTACACTATCCGGCGTCGGCAAGCTAAACTCGCCCGCACCTCCAAACCATCCCGAACTATGCAAGCTCAGCGGGCTCGCCGGGCCCCGTCCCATCCCCGCGCCGGGGATCACCAACGGCTGCGTATGCCCCCGATGCAACGGCGGCGGGCTCACACTGCTCACGCTCCCCCTCTTCGCGCGCGTCCTGCGCGCAGGCCCGCCATTCGTGCTCGGGTTCGGGTCCACCGCGCCCATATTGCGCGTCGTGCTCCGCGACCGGCTGCGCGAGAACTCGAATTCGGGCGCGCTGGGCGAGACGGGCGAGGGGGTTTGGCGCTGCTGCCCGTGTGGTGCGTGGTGCGCGAGGAGGTCGGCGGAGGGGGACGTCGTGGTCATGCCGCTGAAGCTCGAGATGCCTGAGAGGGAGGAGAGGTGGGAGTTGAAGCTCGATACGCTGCTGGGCTCGGCGCCCTGTCCCCCCGGGTGGTTCGGCATGCCGAAGGGCGCGGGTGGTGGCTCGTAACGCATGCTGGAGCCGATGGCGGGGACGGTGCTGTTGAAGTGCGTCGAGAAGTCGTGGCCGAGGGAGCTGGGCGAGTGCAGTGCGCCGTTGGTGTGCAACGCCGATGCGGGCGGGAGCGAGAATGCGTTCTGGCCGAATGGTGAGTGTGGTTGCTGCTGCTGCTGCTGCGAGGTCGAAGAGGAGTGGTGGTGTTGGTGATGGTGATGGTGCGAAGTGGGTGCGGAGATGTCGAAGATGTTGTGCGTCGTGGAGCGGTAGTCGTCGTACCCGTTCGCGTTGCCGTTCGTGTGCGCATTGCCGTTGCCGTTCTGGGTGGAGCGCTCGTTGCTCTGGCCGTGGGCGTGGTCGCTGCCGATGAGGCTCGCGAGCTCGTCGCCAAAGTCCATGGTGGCGGCGGTGTCGGCTGCTGTGGGGAACTTGCGGAAGGTGTCGTGGACGTTGAGGAAGGGCGAGAGGAAGAGCCCTGTCGGGTCAAAGTTGTTCGCGGCGCTGGGTGCGCTGCCGTTGTTGACGGGGGTGCCGTTGGAGGAGGGGGGCGAGGGGGGGTTGCCGTTGGAGGGAGCGGGGGACGGGAGGTGGAAGCCCTCCTGGCGGGAGAGGACCTGGGGCTTGTAGGAGGCAGCGAAGAAGGTGGTGGATGCCATGGGGAGTGGGCACGCTGTCGTTGCTATCGTCGTGGTCGTGAGTGATGGGAGAGGAGGCGAGGCGAGGGTGAAAAGGAATCGAAATGAACGGAGGCTGCTTATAAGGGAGCTTGGTCTGAACAGAGGAGATGGCTGCGAGCGATACGCGGGGTCCCCGCTTCTCCGGGCCTAGTCCCCCGCGCGTCCCGCTATCTCGGGTCCCGATCGGCGAGCCCCAAACACGCCCAAACTGCGCGCGGACCAATCGCGGGCCGCGCCCAGGCAAGCGTCGCCCGCCGACGTCCCTGTCCACAGTGCCCTCCGCGCGCATTCCATACACAGTGCCCTCTCCGCGCGCACTCCATGCACAGTGCCCTCTCCTTCGCTGTGCGCGCACGGACCAGGGCTGATGCGCTCTGGCCACCGCGCACGCCACGGCGATCAAAGCGCGCCGGCCGGGTCTTCCTTTTTCCCTGGCTCCGTTTCTCATCGCCTCGCGCCCATTTGTCGTCCTGACGTAAATGCGCTGCCTCTCCTGCGCACTCCCATCATCTACGTGCCCCTATGTTGTCTGCGCTCTCAACGCCCCGCTGCAGACGCCCATCACTGATACGCTCGCGAACCAATTGCGAGTTTCGACGTGGCTCCGGTCCGCACCCGCAACCTCTACCTTCACGTTCGTCGTCCCCGCGCCTACACTTACACCAGATCTATACCCCGGTGCCTCATGCTCCCTGCGTCGAGGCTCCACGCGAGATGCGCCGCGGAACAGGATTCAGGATGACCCTCGTCGATAGCAGCCGTTAGGTTCGTCCTTCCCTTCCTGCGTGCATACGACAGACGTACGGCCCCCTCCCTCCTCCACTGCACCCGGCGCTTCTCAGAACTCCACCTCGCAGCTCTCCCTCACACGCTCATCTTCGACGAAGCCCGCGGACATGAGCTCAGGCATGCCTTCATGCACCCGGAGTGCCATACGAGTGAGGCAGCATCGCATTGATGGGATCCGTACATAGCCAAGGGACTGCCTCCGCCTCAAATCGTAATTTCTAATCACACCTAGTCGCGTCCGTCGTCATCTTCTGAGCAACAAGCTCCGGTGGCGCCCCCTCCTATTCTCCCATGCCCGGGGCGTAATCTTTCGCGCCGTTCGGTGCGTGCGCGACGGGGCTCGACGAGGACGACAAGCCAGGGCGACGCCTCGGCCTCTTGGCACCCCGATCACGCCGATCGTGCTCTCTTGTCCTCCCCATCGTGTCCATTTGCCCTCTCCTCTACGCGCCTCCATTGTATTCCAACGCACCCACTCGACGTACCCATTTCGTCTCCGCCCGTCACCCTGTCCAAGGCCAACCACCTCTTCACACCCACCACGTCCATCACCCTCGCTTCCCGCACGCCGGCTTATATCCTATGCGGTTTCCTCCTTCCCCATCCCCCTTTCCTTCCCCACACTTCCCCGCCCCCGCATTCCTCGCCATCAATCACCACCCGCCATCAATTTCAAAAACCGACTCCCAGCTTGCCGACCATCCAAACCACGCACGCCCATTGGTGCGGCTCCCGGGCCGGGCGCCCCGCTGCCCGGACGTCTGGGACGGGCGGCTCGTCTGTTAGCAGCGGAGTTTCGGCGCGCGTGCAAACGGGGGTTGCGTATTGCGTGGGGGTCTGGGAGGCTGGGATCGAGGGCGGGGAAGGGGGACCGTGGCGTTCAGTACGTGGTGGCCCCCGGCGCTTGGATCTGAGGTGAAGGTAAAGGGGACGGTGACGGTGCGCTGTTTGTGCGGCCTGGATATTTTGGTCCTGCGGGACCGTGCTGCGACGTGGATCCTGGGTCGCCGCATGCTGCTCTGGAGCGCACTCGGTGGCCATGTCGGCGCGTATTTGGGTGGGATGTGCATAGTGCGTGCGACGCTTCTTTCTCGCGTGAAGGCGCTTGGTGACTGCGCGGGTGCGAATGCGACCCGCCGGGTTCACTTGGTGGAGTTGGAGTTGGTGGCGTGCGGCAATGGAAATGGTGGCGGTGGCGACGGCGATGGCGATGGACCTACACGATCTATCCCTGCGCCATCATTCCGAGTCCTGCCTCACTCCCTCCGACCGGTGCGTACCTTGCCTACAAAGAGCCCGCGCGCCCTCACAGCATCTGTCCACTCAGATCGACCCGGTCTCGCGTGCTCCGCATGGGTTTATGCGTTCGTGCGTGGTCCTGGCATCCCTCGCGAGGAGGAGCCGGGTTGCGGGACCAGGGCCCGAGCGCCTCGGAGCCGTGGCGCTCGGCGCATGTACGACTCCGGTCCTGCCAGCTCAGCGAGGCGTGTCAGACGCGCTGCGCTGTGAAGTGTGGTGGTGCGTGGATGTGTCTTGGATTGTCTGTGCGGCTTCTAGTTTTGCAGTTTGCTTCTGGGCTGGGAAGATGGCTGCTGGAGTGTCAAGAGAAGGGGGAGTGCGCTGCGAGGTTCGCGGTTCGGGTTTTCAAGGGCCCCCGAAGGAGGCTTGGTCTGTGTGGGCGTTCGAGGGGGAGATGGAGCGCCTCGGAGCGCTGTGCGTTTGGTTTGATGTGGGCTCTTCCGAACAGTCTTCTCCTGCTCGTGTTGAGGTTTTTCGGCGATTGTGAGGCGGTCGTGAGGGGTGCACTGCTGGGGTCTTCGCAGGCTCGTGGCGCTGCGGTGGCGGCTTGTCCTAGTCCGACCATCAGAAGTATTTGGACTGGGAACAGCGCGCGGTATGCGTCTGCGACATTCATCGCATTTCATTCGCTGTGGAAGCGGCGTCCGCTTAGTGTCGGATCAAAAGCGGGTACGACAGACGGACAGCGCATGGGGTTTCGGTTTCCAGGTGTGCGCTCGCGTGTCAGGTTTTTTTCGCGACAGCGGCAGCGGCAGCGTTCCGAACTGAGTTCGCGTGGTGCATGTGTGGTGGGGCGCGTGTTTGGTGATCGTGATCGTGTCCGTGTCCGTGGCTGTCATTTCGGTGAGTGATCCGACTCTGACTCCGAGGGCGGTGCGCGCCACTACCACCACCACCATCAATGCGGAGTGTGGCCGGTGGGTGTGCTTTGCTTCCGGAGGCGATGGGGACGGAGCTTGGCTGCTGCATGACTGGGCGGTGAGTAAGCCATCAGGGCGATTGTCGTCGGTGCTTTGTTGTTGGCGTTGGCGTTGGCATTGGCGATGACTCGTTTGACGTGTGAGAGTTGTCTGTTTCGTGGGTGTGTATGGGGGGTTCCTTGCGAATGGAGGTGGAGATGGGATGTGGGGATGTGGTGCTGTTGTTGTCATGGGCTGATCGACCTTACTCCGCAGTTGATAGATGTGTATTCTGACGCGCCTTGGGTGGAGTTTGCCCGCGTGCACATGGGAAGTAGTTCTTTCTTTGTTCATCTCAGTGCTGGGGCCACGGAGCGGACACACATGCAAGACGCATGGACTGTCCATCAGCACGGTGGGCTCGTACGTACGTTTGTTGCGCGATCGTCCTGATAATTGCATGTCCGCACGGCACTGATCCTCGCAGAAGCAGCTCGGGATGACGACATGGCATGGCACGCGGATCTCGCGGTCAGCACCCCTCTACGGGAAGATTGACGCATAGTGTGCTGATATGCTTTTCACTTTGGCTGTATACGAATCTGTATTGGTGACGCACGCACGCACGCATGCGCAGCGTGGCCTGTGGAACTGATATAGAGACTCACGATATGTGGTGTTTGCTGCCGGTGCTTTCATATCCGAATAGGTGGCGATAAAAAATCAAAAGCGAGGATTACGATTCGCCAGTTGCGGCTTCGCAGCGTCGGTCTCTCTTGAGGCTTCGAAATTCTTTCTCCGCCATAAGCACGTCCGCATCATTGCGTCGGCAACGATCGTCCATGGCGTCCGCCGCAAATACAACCTTTGAGCAGCACGCTGCAGTCCAGCCCGCCAGCTTACGGTAGTTAGACGTTGTCGTCGCCGCTCTATCTCCCCCATCCCGGGCGCAATGTTCGATGCTTATTCCCAGTATGTATACGTACGGAGCTACCGACAACGAGGGTTCCTTAGATTTCTGATCGCTATGTAGGGTCCTTGCAGCGCCCCGTCCCATTCCATTCATCTACACGGCGCCAATCTGATCTCTTTCTGTCTCTTGTGGCCGGGCGCTAACATTTAATTCTCCCGCCCCCTCCTCCCCCACCCCCAATCTCGTCGCGGCCGAGACCGGCGAGCAAGCTTAAACGTATCTTCATCTCCCGCCCAGGGAAACGTGCACTCAAGCGATCGTCGCTACACGAGGCGTAATTGTGTCCCTGCCCTGATGTACCGATGCAGTGCGTCCGGCCCCTCTCGCACCATCAGACGCGCCAGAAGCGCTGCCGAACTATGGAATTTCGTGTGAGGGATAGTGCGGGCGCAATGCATATGCTCGCGGTCTAGCTGTGCCTTGCCGGGCAGGACGAGGGATTGATTGGGCGTGCTGCGTGCATTGAGTGTCCGCTTGGGAGCGAGATGAGATGGGATTAGCGGTGTTTGGATGATCCGGTGCGATGCTGCGATGCTTCGGAGGGAATGCCGCCGCTGTACGTGCGAGAATGGGGAGGAAATAGGTATTGCGGATTCTAGGTTGGTGCGTCGCGGTTTCTGGCTTTCGGACTTTCGGGTTCTGTATGGCGGAGGCAAACTGACGTGTTGAGGATGTGGGACGTGTAGAGTCGGATTGAGCGAGCGACAATCGTGCTAGAACTGTTTTTACCTATCGACGGGTAAGGAATTTCATGCACTCTCCGTTCATAGATCCTAATCATGACGAGCGGAAAGTAAACGATTGTACGTCCAAGACGCGTTACCAATAGACCAGATGGTTCCTTGCGCGCTACGACAAGATAATTGCACGTCCAGAAAGAAAGAACGTGCGTCTTGCGAAGCGGCGTCCGCAATAGAGTCCGGAGGAGCGGCCCAGCCAGCCAGGCAGAATTCCCTCGCGGTGCGGTTGCGGTACAGCAATACGGTAGCTTTCTGCGATGCGTATGCCGACTGCTACTGCAGGGAGCCGTGAGCGGGCGTAATCGGCAGATAGTGCCGTCGAAGTCGAAGCGTGCAAGCGTGCGTCTCGTTGCTTGTTGGCTCGGATTTAGATACCGGGGATGGTGGCCCAGTCGGAGTCCTTGCCAGCTTTGGGCAGCGTGCCTGGACGTCCATGGGAACGTGGTGGGTTTCTACTTCTTGATGTTTCTTGCGGCTATGGGATGGACAGTCGTGGAGACGTTCGGGTTAGGATACTTCAGGAGCTGTTCGTGACTACCCGCAACGCACGCGTGATAGGCATTATCCAACGTTGAAGGTAGGTCGACTGGCGAGTGGCAAATGGTGCTGGACGGAATGCGAAAGAAAGAGCTTGATGGAATACTTAGCCCCCAGACTGATCCGTGAGAGGACGACGATCAGCGAGAAGGAGCACTTGAGTAAGCGATTCTCGGGGGCACTTGCTGATGTCATTACAGATCTTCCGCAGCCACTCGGGATTGAGCATTTCCGTTCAGCGTTCAGACTCGGAAAGGCTGGCTCCGACTGGGGAGCGAAACTTAGTCTCTGTCTCTGCGAGCACTTGAGCTTCTGGCGACCCGGAGATTCCATGGGCGACCGGAATATGGTCTGCCGATGTTGTTTGGCCGAGCGACGTGCGGGCCGGCGATTTATCATACTCCGCTCGTTGCGAAGGATCGACGTCTCCAGATTCAGGATTGATGCTATCTGAGACCGGTCAGAGAGGAGAGACAGACAAGTGGAAATATCATTTGGCCAAGCAGTGGATGAATCGGTATGAACATACGCTTGCCGCGTAGGATTATTATTTTTTTGGGTGAGGTCGGTCAGAAACGGAAGACTCCCGACTCCGGACTTCGGTTGCTGCACGAAGCTAATAATGATTCGGAGGAAGAGTCTGTACACGTCTGTACAGTCTTCTTCGCCTGAGAACAAACGCTGACGCTTGCAAATAGTCTCCATTGTTAGCAAGGCGACGGCGTAACTTACCGTATCGATGGTTGGCTGTACTGCACCAGGCTGAATATCGGTGCTATGGCAGCCATCGATTGATGTGGATATGCATCGCCAGTGACGTCAAAATCCGAGGGATTAGTGAGGATCCTCGCACGGTAGGATGAACTTGCTCGATAATACAGGATGGGGATCGCAGTCCCATGCGCAAGATCTTACAGTGGGAGACTCTGTAAGCTGGGAACGCAGGCACCGCCATCGAGCCACCAAGCGAATAGACGCTGAATAGGAAGCAGTTCAGGCAGATAGCGGTCTTCAAAAAGCCTCTTGGGATGTATTCGATCCGTGACCCATGCAGCCGCGCTCACGATGCAGAATCGATGGCGACGAGTGAACGAGGAATATTCTGGACGCTAGTCGATGTTCTTGTAGCGACGATGCTGACCTTGAGAGGCTTGTAAGACATGATGTCACACACACTTGGTAGCCGCTGATGAAATTGAACCAGCGTCGGAGGAGAGCAAGGGGGAGAACCTCGGTCGGACGAACCCCGAACAGTGATCTTCATATTCATTTCGGGCAGAGACAATGTGAACGCACCAGAATCAAGGAAGCGATACCTATTTAATCTTCGTAGCCCATCGATGGGTGCATAAGATCCTTTGAGGACGAAACAATGAAGCCATTTAGAGTATCGCAGAGATGTTTGGGAGCTGCATATCTCCGCACAAAATGCTCCATCACGAACCTACCGATTAAGGACGCAGTGCTTAGAAATCGCCAGTTCCCAGCATCAAAAGATACGGCACTTTCGCTAGTCCGACGCCACACGGTGTGGATTCCTGTGCAGCAGAAGGTGGATAGACGCATGCCGTGCAAATACCATTGAAGTTGCAGGCACGAAGAAGACGAAGTTGACGACGCGAGGGTGGAACGCGGGGTATTTGGACTAGCCTGTCTCGTGAACGCGGGGTAATCGATGGCTCCGCACTCCTGGTCATGGAACAGATTCAGTCAATGTTGTCGATCTCGGATCCTGAACAGGGCGTAGATCTTGTCGCAAGTCAGCGATTCGCGAACGTACAATGCATCAGGCTCGGTCATACGGAGATGTGCGCCGAACAATCACTCGCGCTGCAGCCTCCTGTGCTACGCGCATGGCGGTTGTGTAGATGAGCGTTGTCCCGGTTCAACGCGGCCATCGCTGAGGAGTCTCGCGATGCAGCGAAAAGTTAAGCGGAACTGAGTTTGCTGCTTTAGCACCAGGTTCCAAGGGTGTTTGTCTCGTGAAGCTGCTAATAAGCGTGGTGAACGTCTAACGTAGATGCACGGGGATTGAGACCCGAAATCATTGCCACAAGGTGCTAGTGAGGATGCTGAAGGAACACTGCTGCAGCTTAGCGGGTAAGCAGTAACACCACCGACGAATGTCCGGAGATACTTGGAGAATGCCAGTGAACATATGAAGGGATCATCCGTAGTCAATGTGTTGACTGTTCCGGCTCATGGATCCTGGGTTGATTGCAGTTTCGCCTAGATTTTAGCAAGCATAGACTCCGAATCGTTCTGTTCACAGCTGAATGAGGGCTGGAGAAAAAAGCATGCCCTGGCATGAACACTTGTCGGAAACACAATCATCACGTATGCATGCACGATCATGTGATCGTGAGGGCGGCACTTGCATGGTTTAACCTCACCCGGGCTCGTTCAACACACTCTACATGGGCTAAGATCTCTCTCGCGACCGGGGACAGAAATTTCTACTGCCGGGACAAAGGTAGAATGTTCGTTGTTCCCTGGGCTGAGCTTATGATGCTTTAATCCGCTTGCCGTCACCAGAAAAAACAGTAAGTTCGTTCGGAAAACTGCCAGGCGGGCCATATCCTTGTTTAAACTTATCTCTCAGGGGTCGGCGGCTTCTTATTGTGTGTTTATTGGCTTGTACAAGCCAAAATCATCGAGAACAGGTCGAAGAGCAGGTTCTTGAGCCACAAGTCGATTTGAGGTTTCCTGATGCATGATGCATGAATAGACGCGTACGCGTGTGTGGCTGAAAGAAAGTCTTACCATGAGCGCTCGTCCTAGGGCGCTTCAACTGCTATGAGGCTCCCGTCATTTGCAACGTGAGGCACCTGAAATTACATTGCCTGCTCGAGAAATTAGGTATTGGCCTTATTTCCCTCACTACATAAACACTCATGCTGCGTCGGTTTCAAAGTGTGCAGGGAGCTAGCATCCTCGAAGATAGCGCGCGACTGTTTCTCAGCGCCTCCTACAGAATGCGGAAATCGCACGACCGACGATAATCGGTAGTTCCCATTTGCCACGCGGCAGACACGCGGTATATATGCCCTGCAGGCCACGTTCTCCTCTCTTCAACCGTCTTCCAGCACGTCAAGGATATGGAGTATACGTGCACTTCCTGCCCGATGCCTCGGAGCTTTGCGGCTTTCTTTTCCTATGTACAGCACGCAAAGGATATGCCAGGCCATACGATTCCGCCCCATACGCAATGCAGTTATTGTGTTCAGGCCTTTGAAACGGAGGTATTATTCAACTACTTCATTGAGAAGCCCCGAAACGTACTCAGTCTGGCGTGAATCAGGCTGCTCTTGCCGCGGTACCATCTTGCTTTCGCTGTCTGTAGTTCAGGACTGAGCTTTGGACTATTTGGCAGCACATGCCGAAGGCTCACGCCCTTTGTCCTGTATGCGGGTCTGTGTTCAAGAAAGCTAGCACTCTTGCTGCCGTACGTCAATGCCATCTTCATTATTGATGAGATATTTGTTGAGATGTTGTCCATCAGCACGTCGCAATTGCTCACCCAAAGAGTACTGCTAATGAATCGTCTGTAGGGGTCCCTACATCGTTGGGCCCGGTGTGTGCCCTATCTTATTCCGTCTATTGTTCCTCGGCTGATGACGGCCTGCGCACTGCTGCTCAGCCTGTTGCAAGCACGACATCGGCGACTGCCTCACGGGAATTGCAAGAGGAAACCCCTCGGGTGTCATTGCCCGTTGCAGCAGCTCGGAGCGATGGCTATGTACCGAGCATCGTAGCATCTGATTCGCAGAACACTGTGGTATGTGTAGTTATAGTTATATTACATTTGCCGAGTCCTAATTGCTAACGCGCATATGTCCCTTTGTGAAGGATGCTGAAAAGGCTCAACAAGGCGAACAAGCTCTTCGTGGTGGATCTGAGCCTTCCACACGGTCCGCATCCCCTGCAAGGTCGTCAAAGGTTCCTACATCATCTCTCGGTTAGTAAAGGCATTGTGAGCATGGAAACATGTGTCTCACGATAGATTTCTAGTTCTTTATGGATTCACGCAGAGGTCACCTTCAGCGGCAGTACAGACGGGCTCTGAGGGTGGCTCTGAGCACGTAAGGTAGGCGATTTCTTGATGAATTCAATGCAACTGTCGTTCGTAACTCACTCTTATACAGCGTGAATCTGAGGTCCTCCTCGCGACCAGCTAGCGTCATGAGTGTCTCGTCAGTGGCGAGCTCGAGCCTCACCTCCGAAAGCATCTCGAGCACGCCGACGCTCTCTCCCAAACCCAGGGAGCCTACGCCTTTGGATCCTCCGGCGATGTGGTCAGGCGAAAGCGTCGAGCCTCCTGAAGAGCCGTACATGTTCCCGCAGCCGTTTCATACAATCTCCACGGCTGCGGCCACTGAGAAAGCGGCCTCGACTGTCAATAGCACCCAATCACCTCTTTCCCATGTTCTCCAGTCTAACAGCAGTACGACGCCACGGCCTGAATCGACGCCGTTGGTTGATTCCGGAGACTTGTCCTGGCATTGCAGGAGCTGCTTGAAGAACCCGTGTGAGGATCCCACTGCGACGATGTGTGGCCATATATTCTGTCATGGGTGAGTTGCAGTCCGACCCTTGAGGCATGGTAGTTGATTTGTGCTTCAGTTGTATTATCAAGGAGCTTGCGACGCACATGCATTGCCCGGCTTGCAAGAAGGTGATGTTACTGAGGCTGGACGTGAACTCGTAATTAGCAGACCCCGAGTATCGATGAGGCATCTAGTCAATTGAGGATGTACTTATAATCGACAGTTCTTGATTTCAGCGTGGCTCAGATCTTCGAGCCATTATTCATGAAAAAGCAAACGATCTGTATTTTCCTTGGCGGTACGTGCTGTCTACTTTGTCCGATAAAACCTACATCACTTTGCCGCCCTGTAGGTGGGACTGAACAGGCGGCTGCCTTCCTTTGAGCTAGCAGGCATCCCACTTGCAACAACAGACAGCGCAGAAGTGGCTTTAGCAATATAAACAGGCAGGAAATCATAAAACATTATGTTTCAGGTTGTCACGTCTAAATAACACACACAAATGTTCCATAGAAGCAAAAGCTTGATACAAGGGGTGCTGAGAACATACAACGAAAAAAACCATGAGCGGAACGTTCAACGACCGTGTCATTTTTGTCAGATTCCCATGTGAACGAAAGGTACCCAGTTCAGAAGCGGTTTACCTTGCTCGCGAAGATTCTTCGTGGCGATGTGCAGAGCATACGCTGCATCGGCTGCATCCGGCTGCTTATCTCTGAACAGGTGGGCATATACGTCGTCTGCCACCTGGGGGGCATCACTATCCATGATAGACCACATCGTCGCGACCACACCGCGATAGCCAGCAAAGTGCATCCCGGCTGCAAGATGCACAGCTTCTTCCTTGAGCGCCTCCGTATTCGTGGCGGTTTGGCAGGCAGAGAGGAACGCAAATTCGGCGTGGGGGAGGGACAATGACATGATCTGCGATAACGTCAATCGTGAGCTCCCCGCAAGCAACAATGCACCTTGTGTCGGGTTGTGCACATCTTGAACGCCATGACATGCAAAATGAACCCAACTAGATTCTTTCATGGCCTTCACGACCTCCTCGATGGTAGCGGCGTCCTCCTCCAGTCGTACGGACGTGAATTCTCCGATACGCTTCCCGATAACATCGAGCTCACGGTGTGTTTCTGGAATAGGACACTGCCCATGGGCGAACGGTTGCGCAACGGTCAGCATCATGGATTGACTCGGAACACTTCTATGGCGACCATTGATCAGGGCGGTGAGCGTGGGCGTGTATGATGATATGACAAAATCGTGCAGTTTGGAATCTTCCTTAGATGAACCATAAATGCCTGCAGCATGGATAGGAAGAAATGTAAGAGGGCCTGTTGGGCACCACCAGATTCGAGTGAGTTCATAAGATTCATGCGCTGATCGAGACTGTAATAGTGAACTCAGTACTCATAATTGAATGTACAGAACAAGGAGAGGTGACCTACCGAAATAGCTAGGCTGTCTAGAACTGGTTTCACCACATGAAGCCAAAGCTCAGATAGAATGTGCTTGAGGACTGCTTCAGGGCTTCCCGATGGATCGTGCCAGTCAGCCAAAACCATGTCAGCCTTCCGGTCCGCATCTAAGCCGGCCCAGTAATCATTGCTTCTGACGTGGACTCCACGACTGCTATGCAGCAATTGGAAGTTGCTATATTCGATCCCGTGGAAAGACACCACATCGTTCGGGATGCAGGTGGAGAGCAATCGGCATAATTCTTCAGCTTTTAGGAACGAAAAGTTGTCCAACGGTACGTGCATGACTTCATCCAAATCCGGAAGCAGAATGAGGGCATCGCAACGTAGGAAACCAACATTCACCGTAACCACTGGACCACCACTCGCTGCCGGGAGCAGTTCTAACAAGGTCTTAGGCAACATGAATGTCTCAAATCCCTCCAAGGTCCGAACTCTTTGGACGAGTTGTTCTCTCTGGTAAGCGATTTCATGAGTAGAGATTCGGTCCAATTGGGAAGAGGGTCCCTTGATGCGCTCTTCATCATCGCAAATCCGCATCGCCTCCAACGCCTTGGACAAACGTTCAAGCTCCACTGCGAGATCAGGATAGGCTTCCTTTAGGTCATCCACTGGTGTGCGGAGTTGAAGCATCTGGCCCCATATGATAGACCTTCCTTGCTCTAGCCATTCGAGTGCTAAACCAGGTCTTCCATCATGTATGGCAGCAGCCGCCGCCTCTAAGACATACTGTCCAATGTTGGTCAGGAGACGTTGGCTATCTGCTATGGATAGCCCAAGCCAGGTCATCTGAGGCAATAGTTCCATCGCGATGGAATGCGGCTCCAGTGATTCAGGACAGCCGTAGAATCCACGTTCACACATGGCCCACTGGCAACAGCTGATGAATCTATCGACCGCGCTGCCTGAGCTTGACCGTGCAGCCCTAGAATAATGCAACATGGCTTTGTGCACATCCTGAATATCACCGAATTGTTGGAAGCAAACGAAGAGACCTTGAGCTAAAGCAATTGAGAATGTCGCTTCATGGAAGTCATTATCTGGTATCAGCTTGAGGGCCCTCTCCAGGACCGACGTTGCTCGGTCGATATCATTCCTTTGGTGCAGTGCTTCAAACCGTATCATGAGTGAGATGCCAAGCCCTCCGAGATACTTGTATAGTTCAGAATGCTCGTCTGAGTCTGCCGCAATATTGATTGCATCTTCCCACAACTGCACGGATCTCTCGATGTCCGTGTCATTTCCTGACTGGCTGTATCGCCAAGCAAGTACCTCCGCCAGTACTAGGAGTACGTCTTTATGGCATTGTTCAATCGGCTCAACTCGCTGGGTTTCCTCCACTAGCTCGATAGCTTCATTCATGTCAGAAACATCATAGCTGTACCGGTAACGCAGCGTCTTTGCATGGGCAAGTTTAACTTGTGCCCTCCGCAGCTGTGTATGATCACTCGACATAGACTTTATTACATCCTCGAAAACCCGGATCGATTCATCGAGGTCACCGACGTCGCGGACCCAATGATGGCGTACCCAGAGCGCATTGCCATAGTCGACCGAGAATTTCGAATACTCGGGGTCTTCCCGTGGTGTCAACCGAGTAGCAGTTGCCAACAGCCGAACTGCTTCGTTAATATCACTGTGACTGCTACGAGCGCGCTGGAAGGCGTCAACTAGCGAAGTGCCGAGGGTGTGGATCAAGGGGACTTTGTCCGCGATATCGTCCGCAACGAGCTGAATAGCTTCGTGAATCAAAGCGATGCATTTGCGAGCCCGGGCGGCGTGTTCGAAATCCGGCATCTCGCGAAGACATGTGCAATAGTTGGCGAGGTGCCAAGGCTTTGACGGATCACTATCTGGAGTGAGCTGCACACAACGCTCCCAGAACTGTGCAGCCTTCTCAAGATCAGCGGGGTCGTGCGAGTGGTCCTGGAAGCGCCTGTGCAATGAGTGGGCATACCATCGTAGAATGTTCGCATTGTAGGGATAAAGTCGAACGGCAACTGCAAGCATCGAGCAGAGACACCTCAGATCACCATCACCGTCACGCTCAAAAAGCAAACGTGCCAGTTCTTGCAGAGATAGAGGCACGTCAGCGTCCTCCTCCGGACACCACTCTACCGCATCCGCGAATATTCGAATGGCACTGTCAAGGTCAGATCGGTCACGAGAGATACGGTAGGCGTCAGAGAACGCAAAGCCCAGTGCATTTAGCATTCGCACGGTGATTCCGCTGTGGTTAATTGTTCGCAGGTATTGAAGTCCATCGTATAATATCGTAAGCTTGTCGCGATCAATTGACTTCTCCTCCTCCATCTGGTCGGATATGATCTTGCGACATGCAGCAAGACCTATTTCGCCGAGCGCGATCGCTAATCGAGCAGAGAATGCTCAGAATTTATGAGAACGTATGCATTATGACTCACATACCTAGACTCTCTCCATTGGTTATTTTCAAGGCTCTGACAGGCGCCCAATTGTGACGAGACTTAGACTTCGATGCGCGAAATGTTACTTCGAACGAGGGCAGTGTACTCAGCACGTCCGTTATCTCGCAAAAAGTCACTTCTATAGAGACCGTGTTGATACCAACGCATATGAGCTATTTATAGCACTTACCTGGTCCATTCTTCTCAGCCAGGTGAAGATAAATGGAGTTTACAATTATAGCCAAGGAAGCAATCTTCTCAGATACTCCTTGTGCGTTTTCCCGGAGGACCTCAACAGAGAATGATGGCACATAGGAAGGTCTGAGAATTAAATCTGAACTGCCGGCACCTCATCAGACATATCATTGTAACGCACATTTCAATCACGTCCTCAAAACTCCAGAAGTTTGCTTTGTGTGGTTCTCTCTCTGCCGCTTCTGTCTGTCCAATAATTACATCGTCGATTACGACCCGAATGGATAGCCGCGCGTTGACAAGAGTATTCGTTCCTTTGTCAGACAGTGGCTTGACGACAAAAGCTGTGCAGTACATTCAGTATGATATCTCACGTCTATGCAGTTGCAAACCTTCAAGGAGAAATTCCAGTCTGTCACAAGACATCAATATTCATTGTGCGTCACATTATATGGAAACCTACAGCTCGGAATCCATGTTCAGCGCTGCGACGTTGACAAGAGATGTCTGAAATATCGAATCACGAACTCGTTCAAGTTGACGTGCAGAAAATCGAGGATGCGGTTGAAGCCGTGAAGACGTTCGACAGTGACAGAAGAATGATTGAAAACGAGGAAAGTCGAATGAATTTGACAGTAGCTAGCGTGCAGGATAATTGACTGAGTTAGGAAGGCGAGAGGGTTAGACCAGAACACGGAAAGGAGACTTTGAAAGGCGTTCCGTATGATTTCGAAGGGGCTAGTAGCGACTGGACGGACGATTGATGATGTTGGGATTGACGAGAGATGCAATGAGGGAAGCGATGCATCAGATGGGTGGTATATATAGAGGATCACGCTAGTATGCGGCCTATCACAGCATGATACACGCGACTGTGGCCGTGCAACACTAGGATTCGGGATCGGGACGCGAGCGCTCTGATGATATGCTCTTCATCCTCTTTCAAATAACTATACTAGAAGCCCAATGTAGTTCATGAATGATCACATGTGAGCACAGTTGAAAGCTCACCATTGCGGTTTCTTAATTCTAGACTGAGGCATTGCGATACCAGTGGAAGAAATCGAGATCAATGCGACGATGTCGGCATCCCGTCCCCGCGCTTCTCGCGCATCGATCACAGCCTTCGGAAGACTCACAGCTAAGCATTTCTTGGTCATCGTGCCCCGGCACGGCGAGACGCAAGCTGGTACGTTGCCTATCTGCTATTTCATGAGATTCAAGCTCGCAGTTGCACCATTGCACCATCATCCCAAATAGTTGACTAGTCCAACAAGCGACCAGCGAGTGTAAAAGCATCGCAGGACCCTTCAGCGCGGCGGTAACGGTGGCTTAACCAGACATTTTATTTCCCTGAAACCCAAATGCAGACTGCTCAGCCTATATAGTGAAGGATCAACCATTCTTACCTTTTAAGCCGGTTGTCCAAAGTGTTCTAGCTATGCATGGAATCAATGCAAACTAGGGAAAGGGACTGATGGCTCCAGTTCACATACAACGCAATCAAACCATCATCCGAGAGGGCTGAACATTTCGACCGTGGCATGGTTGGCAAACCCAGAGTGATACACTACAAACTAAACTGCCAGTGCACGGACCGAGTCAAGTCAGATAGAATCTGCTAACCCCAGTGTTGACTCGCCGATGATGTCTTCGAGTACAGGATCGTGGAGTACAGGATCGTGAGTCACGGTAGTCTAGGAAATCGTGGTGCGGCAAGGGTGTTAGCCAGCCGGCACCTTCCCGTCTCATGGGCGCAATGGGAGTGAGAGGCTGGTGAGGCCACAAAC